TTTTAATAAAAAAAAATTACTTACAATTATTCGAAGAACCGAACGTTCCGGGATCTTTACAGCTCTCATAGTCACGACGATCTGATGCTTGTCTAATGTCTTATTCAATGAGTTTAAACTTTTTTCTTCTTTTCGACTAGGTATACCAGCAAAAATCTGCTATAGGTTACAGATAGTGCTATAGAGGCTACTTACTGGGCCAAAGAAATTTAACATTGGCTTTTATTATTGACCGACAAGAAGAAGAAAGCTTTGTCAATTTGTTATACTTGTTATGCTGCGTGTTTTCACAGGTACTTTTATTTTGTGTCACTGTAGCATCCCTTAGATTAAACCCTCTTCATCGAGGTAAAGTCCAGTAATAGGTTGTATATAAGATAATAATTCTCACTAAATTTAAAGAGAAATTAACAAGGGAACAGGACCTTTAGTAAATTTTAGGATCCCAAAAACACGGAGCCCGATTTCCATATTATTTTTGACAAAATAGTATTTGGGTTGAACCGTTTTTCCCTAAAAGGATTACCGGCGCATATGCCGTGAAGGTAAAATAGAAATAGGGAAAATTGGATTTTGGAAAGTGATGAAACTTGGAAAGTATGTTTAAAAATATATTATTAGGTAAAGGTTTCGAGAGAGATAGTGTGATTCACAAATTTGCTTCCACATTGAATGGCAAACGGCTGTGGAGTGAAATTTCCTGTCTGCAAACTTGTTCCCTGAACGTTATACTTGAACCTTTTCAAGGCGAGAGTGAATGGGCATTGTTTAGGTGTGCATGCTGCATCATCGATCTCATCGTCACTTTCCATCGCGTGAGATGGGCGCCAAATACAATTTAATTTTTTAATAAAAAATAAGAAACGTCTGTTTATACCTGTTTATACCATACGGTTTAACAGCATTCTGCTCGCCCTTGTATCTCATTGCGCAGCATCGAGTATATAACCTGAAATAGAGACGAAATGTCATTTCATTTGATAGTTTTCACTATTATATATGCTCACTGGTTTTCACAATGAAAGATTTCTGCCAAATCAAACGGCGCTCCGATTGGTCAGCTTGAATCCGAAACAATTGACGGGTGTCATCAATTGTTTCACTTCAAATCGACCAGTTTAACTTGAGCTTTGCTATAACAGACGAAAATTGAATTACATATTTAATTGCCGACGAAACGTGATTCCGTCTGTTTTATAATTACATGTTTTGCTGTTTTTCCCACACCACCGAATGGAACAGTCCCCCATAGTTAGAGATGTTATTTTTATTACAATAAATACAGAATATTTTTGGAATATACGGAGACGCACACACAGGTCAGTTGTTGGCGCTGTACTATTTCTGCTTTCTAATTTGTGATTTCAGCACAAACGAGACTTGATATTTAAAAGTGATACGTGCATTTGCCTGAAGAGTTGCAAGAGATGGATGGCCCTTATTTCGTCTTTATTTCTGGTTATATACTCGATGTTGAACAGTCAAAAATCAAGTTGTACAAATCGCTTACCTCGCTAAAGGAAATAACTCGACGACTTCACTTGATAAACAAAAAAAGTAATGAGCTTAAAGAAACTTAAAAAAAACAAACAAAAATAGTTTGACCAATGCTTTGATCAAACGTCTCTCAAGCAGAGTCAGAGAGTTCGGATCCGGGCTCTGAGTTTCTCGGAATTTATGTGGGAAATTTGATTTGAAATTTACCATGAGCTTTTCGGTGAAATAAAAACCGCATTTGCGGACTATAGCCTGAACGCTCGCTTGAGAGGAGATTCTCGGACAGCACTTGGACGTATAAACGGGTTGATGATGAAATTGTAATCGCTTACTTCGCTAAAGGAAGAGAACACGAAGACTTCACTTGGTAAATAAAGAAGTAATAATAAGCATAGACTAAATAAAAAAAAACAAAATGAAGAAACTTAGATTTCTCACCAATGGCGCTACGAGAAAAAAGTCGTTAAAACCAAAAAGAATGATCTGCAACAAGCACATAGAAATATTTGTATGGTCCGTTGGTTCGGTCCGTGGCTTAGTTGGCATCCATTGCCATTCGATTCCAACCGGATCGAAGGAACAAACTAATAGAGTAATTTCACAAAAATAACTGAATATCATGGTGAAATATCGTGACGTTCGATAAAAACTTAAAAATTACAAAAACAAAAATATTTTGGACAAAAACCTATCTACGCAGCAAGACCATGAAGAAACGTGGACCTTAATAAGATAAAGATAATGAATAATATTTGAAATCCAACTTCATAAAAGCAATTTTTTAAATCGCAGAAATAACCAAGCGTTCCTAAACTAAACTCACTCTACTAAAATCGACCATGTACAAAGAAGAGTGCACAACAAGAATCGCTTCCCACAAACTATCATGCAAATAGAGTGCATGCAGTATTGTTTATTTAGCACCCAGCGAGCGCATGAAGCTAAGTGGTTGGTTTGAAATGCTAAGCAGCCATTCGAGGCTCGGCGAACACGTGCCAGCTCTAACCTCACAAAAGAGACGCGTGCTCGCGGAAAATTGTGAACTACCCACGAAGCGTGCAGGCATTCTCTTTTAGAGTTGAGCCGAAAATTTTTCATTTTTTTTTCTTTTTTTATAGCCTAGTCAGAGAACCGTTATTTCTCAATTGAGAGGTTCTTATGGCGGCACGTACTGAGCTTTCACTTCCATGTATACTATAGAATGTTTATTAGTAATATTTTTCGTTAACTTTGTAATACCAATATGAAATTTACTATTACGATGTTTTACTATCATGATATTCAATTATTTTTTCGTGAAATTACTCCACTAGTTTGTTATAATTATTAACACAGAGAATTTTTCCAACCAGAGCCTTCAGCTTACCAGGCCGACGCCCTCCTAATTAAGCTACGGAATGAACCAGCAGACCCAACTATGTTTTTTATGTGTTTGTTGCAGATCTTTGTTTTTGGTTTTATAACGACTTTTTGCCGTAGCGCTATTTTTGAGAAATCTATATACATAGATTTCTCAAAAATAGCGCTACGCTAATTTTGAAATAAGTGACGGGATGACCAAATCATGCGCATGGTGGTAAGCGATACGCTTGTCCATAATAGTTGCAGTGTCATTTGAGATTGAAATCTCAAATGAAAGATCTCATGTTGTCATCCTAGATATAAGTTGACAAATTGCACGTACCTATAATTTCAGCAGCACCCTTACTCATCCAACCCGCATTAAGGATCACATTATTGCATGACGGCAGAAATAGGTAAGGTTACGATGAATTCTTTCACAAGGAGCTCTACTGCTACTTACTACTAAAATACCCGTATATCGAAGATATATTCATCGTCGATGTTATGTAGAAAGGGCGAAAGCGCCATTTAGAATTTTTTTTCCGGGGTGGGATTTTGAAATTTTTAAACAGTCGTAAAAAACTAAAACATGCTCCTCCATTGTTCGAAATTGCGCTTTCGCCATGTTTTAAAATTAAAACAATGCTGCACATTGAGCCCGGTATTAAGAATAATAATTTTACAACAAGGGTACAAGTTGGTGATTGAAATAAGTTTACAAAATCTCAAAGTTCTATCTACAATGACCAGATTCTTAGCAAGTTTGACTATGACTATATCATCTATATGGAGAGATGTGATAAATGATAATAATTAATATGGTGTACAAAGCGTAAACAAAGCTAGACGTGAGATCGTGACAATGGCCCCAAAACCGCGCCTTGTATAAATCCTTGTTTGCTGTATGTTTCCTTGCATTAGAACGTAGAGTGTGGATTAATGATGGATCCAAGCTTAGGAGCTTTTCGTGAAGTTTGGTTTTAGTAGTGTGACGGTGACAACTTCGCTCACCTTTTTGTCATCGTCTTTTCTGGTTCCTGACCACTTATTTGTAAAATTTTGAAACGTTCTTAAATTCCTTTTTCCTTCACTATTCTTACATTTGTTCGATCCGTTGTCACTCCCATGAAAACTCTTGAAATGATAGGACGTGTGACTCATTGTTAAATTTCACGCCGGTTAGGTATCTATTAAAATTATACAGTTACGTAAGCCCTTTTGAGGTGAGTATTGTGTTAATTAGTTTTATAGGGAGTGCTTTGTAATAATTTTAATATCATTTTTTATTACTGCCTTCTGTTTGCTCTTCCATTATCTCTTACAATAAACCTGTTTTATAATATTAAGTGACGGGACGATCAAATCATGCGTCTGATGGTAAGCTACACGCTTGTCCATAGCGGTTGCAGTACCACTTGGAGCTTTAAGCTGCAAAGCTCTGAGGGATAGTGCCTGTCACCCTGAGACATAAGTTAACAAGTCCCACGTGCCTGAGATTTTACCGAGTAATGCTCGTGTTACTGCTTGGCGGCAGAAACAGGCAAGGTGGCAGTACTTCACTGGACGAACTCTTTTCAGATTCACTAGTATGGGTTTATTTGCAAAGCTGTTCACATCAAACACTAATGGTACATAAGCACTTCAATTCATAACAATAAATATGCATAAGCTGCAATAAATGACCTTGATTGAAACTCTGGATTACTTGGATATTTACGAGGCCTGTGTTTATATAAAACAAAATCCAGACAACTTTAATCTAGTGAAAACCAGACATCCCAGGAAAACAAGGAACAAAATAGAAATACGGCCAAAACAACGTTGGAATTTTACAATAGAACGATGTTTATATTGGCACCTAAATTATTTAATAAAATACCAGATGCAGTTAAAGAACTAAATTGTAGGCAATTTAAAATAAAATTGCATAATTTGTTAGTTACACAATGCTACTACAATATAAATGATTTTTTAATTGATAACATAAAATGTAAAATTTAACCACTGTGCGTGATTGAAATAAGAATTGTGTAAAATATTCGCACTACTATGTATGTGTACTATGAAATGTACGATCTAATAATAATATACTATATCACCATTGTAAACTACATTTTTCAGCGAATAAATATCTTGTATTCTTGTATCTTGTATTCTTGTTAGTGGTACTTGTAGTTCCTGTGGTGCTTCATCTTGCCATAATTGATAGCATAGAAGAACGCCACTGATCCAACCGCAAACTGGAAGAATGGCGCCATGCCCACTCTCTTAAGTTGCACGTACTTGTGTTGCCATCTCCAGAAAGCTCGGCTGCAAGCACCAGCTACAGCCGCTGGGGTCTTGTTTCTACGCCCAAACCAGGAACCAATCTCGCTAATCTTCAACTGACTGAAGGGAGTGTCAGCCTTTCTATAATAACGAGCCGGGTCATATGGTCTATGCATTGCTGGATTGTATTCTTTGGGATAATCACCGGAAACCATCGTTCCGAGGCGTTTTTATCGAATTTTCTTGCACAGAAGGAATTTGGTCATTCCTGCTGTCAAAACTGATTACAATTTTACAAGGAGCTCTACTGCTTTTTAAAACCTAGTGGACCGGTCCTTCTGCTTATTTCTCTAAAGCTAGACAGATCTTCTGAAAGATTTCGTCTAGGGAAGTCGTGCCACCATATCTGCCACGAAGCATTAATGTGAGCATAAGTACGTTCCTGTTTTGAAGGATGCTAGTAAAGTAACGGGCACATGGTACTTGTCAATTTTATGTCTCATGGTAACTAACGGGCGCACGGTAGTGCCCTTCATATGTTTGTGATTTAAAGAGCTGAGTGGCACTGCATGAGCATGGGTTTATGTGTAATGTGTGGTAGACGAGCTGCTTACCATCAAACGTACGACTTGATCGTCACCTGTCACTTGATATCATAAAAAAAATATATTTAGGTTATATTACAACCTGTAGAGTTGTATTTTGCTAGTTTCAAATTTCATGCGTATCGATTCAGGAACGGCCGAGTAATTTCATTCGGAAATTTGCAATTTGAATGGATGCCAAGAAAGTTTCCTTCGCTCGAATCGCTCGACTACGTACGTACGTATGGTAAGAAACATGTAACTGGTGATAATTATACAGAATATTCGCATGTTTCTTTGAAACTCGAATGCATGCGACTCCAAATGGGCTTTAAGAAAATAGTTCTAGCATGTGGTATCAATTCATATACACTAACTTTAGTACATATTTAAAACTATAGATGGCGACACTTGGATAAAATAAGAATATAATTACCAAGAATTTCAGGTATAAAATAAGAAGTATAAAAAATAGAAAATAAATGCGAAACTATTTAAACGACATTTTAGAATTGTTCAAAAAAAATTCATTTACAATAAACATAAAGAAAGTCTTTTTGAATCTCACGGAATTATGGGTGTTCTTAGAGAAGCTATAGCATTGACTTACAAATAAATGGACGACGGGTCTAATACAAAAACCACGAAAAAAATGTCCCAAGTCAACCTATTTAAACGTAGTGACATGTAAAGGAATATGAGAAAGCTAAAACGTTGAATTTAAATTGTAAAGTCATCGCAGTACTGTCTAATTTTGCTTGCTTCGCTATCAGTCGAACAAACGAAGACTAAAGCGTGAATGACGCTCTGTATACGATTTTAACGCCCTATAAGTTCGGACACTTTTTAGCGCGGACCTGACGTCCATATAATTGTACGTTAATGAGCTATAGACCCTACACCCAACCAAATTCTTATTTACCTCTAGCATGGACCACATCTCTCAGTAAAAGACTTATCCAGGCCCAAACAGAAAATTTTAGAAGTACATATTCCTGAAAACGATAACGATATGATAAAAGAATTTTTTGCTAAAGTACGTAATAAGCAAAGGAAAATATTTCATTTATTTCGAGACCGAAACTCTCCGCAAAGATTTGGCTAGAGTGGTAATTAATTTATTTAATAGTGGAACTGTACAATTTTTTGAATTTACCGAACGAGTGATATATGTTGAGGATGAAAAGCAACTGGTTGCGATTATCCGGAAATTACATGAAGGTAAAAGTTGTCATAGGCGCATTAAGGAAACAATGGCCCGAATTCGGCGAAATTATTTTTGGAATAATATGCAAGACACTATTTAACAGTAATTTTTTTAGAGCTATATCGCAAGATGAAGTACGACAGGGAACCCATAAAACCCATATTGTAACTAACGCAAACTCAAAATGCCCCCTTTAAAAAGGACTTGTTTCTTATACAAAATGTAGTAAAGTTAAAATATTTGATTCTTCTTTGCACGAATCTAAAAGTCACATCAGCAAATATAATTTAAAACGGGTTTGTATGATCACCATTAGTTGTTTAATCTTTCTTTGTTTTATCCGCTCACGCGACATGCAGCCGTAGACGCATACCACACCTAGAGGTGCCGGTGATGATTTTATACCGATTTATCGGATATCGAAGTTATATCAGGTAAAAGAACTAATACTAATTGCTATTTCGGTAACTACTCTAGCAAACCATAAAGGTTTTAATGCCTGGGTCTGTCATTTAAAAAAATAAACAACTTCAAAAATACGTCACGACAATCGTGTGTGTTATTGTTTGGGCTGGTGATGTCGGTGTTTATTTATTGAAAACATACCGTAAGTAGCGATTTTTAAGTTTACCCTGAATATGAATTATTATAAACTATACTTTAAGGAGTAATTTCATGGTAAACGTTAGAACCACTCAAACGGAATATTATCATATTTATCCAAGTACACCAAAAATTTCATTAGTGCTGTTTAAGTGCAGGTTTTGCGGTGTATTACTGCATTTTATTTGAGATATTTTTGTTGTAGTACGGAGAGTATTTATTTAGCAATGCAGAATAATAATTTTTATTTATAAAAACTTGTATTTAAACTGAATCCTTTTCTAATTTGCGAAACCAAATAGCCGCCATTTTGCGGTAGGATGAGCGCATCGCGTGAGCGGCTATTTAACGTTATTATAGTGTTTTCGTTACTTACATATTTTGAATTAAACATTGCTTGTCTTTAATAATTCCTATAATAATTCCTATTCTTATGTTGGATTATAAGTTCTTAATAGATATATAAGTTCTTATTATTATAAGAACTTATATATCTATTAAATGCAACGTATAACGCTATGCAATGCGGTTTCAATTAAGAAATTGAAACCGTAAAAGGGTCGCCACAGGACAGGCTAAGCGTGGGACTACCTGTAATGACTCACAATGTTTTCAGGCATGGCATCACGTTATCAACGCATGTTTTTGTTAATGTTTAACACATACGTAATGTTCATGTAGCATAAGTCTCTTGTTCTTTTCTTAAAAATGTAAATATTTTAAGTATTTTGTTTTTCTTTGTGTTTGTGATGCCAAATAAACATATTCTATTCTATTCTAATTATACTTTATCTTTTCACCTATAAGTACAGGGGACTGTAGGTTTTGTAATAAGTTTAATGTTTTTTTTTTCTAATTTCGTAATTGTAAACGACTGTTTGTTCCTTCATAAAATTAATAAATTTTCATCATAATTTTCATCATTAAGTTAATTTTATTTTATTTTATTTTAAAAAGAAGAAAAAAGAATGGTGGGACAGTAAACCGTTACAAGACAACAACTTGAATGTTTTTCATTGGCATACTTTTTTATTTTACTTTTTGATTTGTTAGTTTTCATGGGCCTTCATAACTAGCAGATGGAAAATTCTGCTTTATTCTAGAATCGTAAAATGCATTGTCAGAATTTCACTTGCAGTGCATATTTTTCTAGGAAACAAGTTTTATTAGAAAAGTTTTTATAGTTATCACGAGGTAGTGATATAAAATTTTGTACGGAGCGATGTCGTCAGCAATCCCCTTTGAACTGTAAACCAGCTCTTTTCTAATGCATTTGTATAGTCCACTGCTACACCATAGTGGTGTAACGTGGAAAATAATCGAGTCATTGATAGATAACAGACTGTATTGGAAACTCATTTATACAGATTTGCTATCTTATGGCGATTCGACAGGTTGCTACTGGTTGCTCGTCGAAGGCAGCCCGTCCCCGTGGCCAACCCCATCTCATGGTATCATATAACAGACAACTTATATTCACATCTGCACATGCACTTACATATCGAATAGGTTTTTTTTATAATACCAGTTGGCGGGACGAACAAGTTGTGCTCTGTTGAGCTGTGCGATGCCGTCACTGCTTGGCGGCAGAAATAGGTAAGGTGGCAGTACTTAGTACTTATAATATGTAGTATACTACAGTACTTATAATATGTAATAAATATTATACCTATTCAACTTTAATTAACAATATTATGCATACTAACTCCATATAATACTTACGAAAAAGTTTTTATTACACTTATTATTTTATATTGTTTTATATTATATTATATTAGAATTAGTATATTATATCCGTGTTCAACAGTAGGATGTACAAAATTTTAAGTTTATTGACACCCTATATTACCGAACTCACGCACACACACACACACCACGAAATGTCAACACGAAGGAGTAAGAACGCGCACACTACATATAGAAATATTTTTGAACGACGAATGAGCGGTATACAGAAAAACTTAGTTAAGTTTATGTTATACTGGAATGTTTTGTTTTTTAATACTTTTAAATGTAATAAATACAATAAAATAATAATACTTCTCTCGACGAGTACTGTCACAAGGTGATCTACTGCTACTAAAAAAGGTTATTTTGATGCACTATTCAGACTTTATTATATTTATTAATTCAATGAGCAATTTCACTCCTAGTCGTTATTGCTTACAAATAACCTCTACATTAAAAAAAAAATTAAATACTAAGTGCGCTGTCTAATTTGTTCCCCCTCGTAGGTTTTGACTGAAAACCAGTGCCGTAGGGAACTTAGGTATATGCTGAGTGAGCTGTTTCACTGTTATGACAAAATCTTTTATTTCTCCTTTTGTATTTAATCCGTATTTGTGTCATATTACTGCATAAAGGGTTTATCTTACTACCTACCCAATTGTTTAATAACTGTTTTTAACCGACTTCAAAAAAGGAGGAGGTTCTCAATTCGACTGTATGTTATTTTTCCTTTTTTTTGTATGTATGTTACGCGATAGCTCCGGTATTTGTGAACCGATTTTCATGATTCTTTTTTTGTTGGAAAGGGGGTACTTCCATAGTGTTTCCATTTCATTTTGAAGAAAATCAATCACCTCGAAGGGTGGCTGTTCACGCATGAAGATTCATTTTTATAAATAGCGCCTAACTTTTATTTAGGAGCAATTACTTTAATGGTTGATTTTGCTATTTCTCCAATTCAAGGCGTTTTTCTCTCAATATACTTTGAGTAGTGACAACCGATTTTTATTATCTCCAGTGTCAAGTCCTGTATAGTGGCGAACTAGGGGATTTTTCAATAAAACTTAGCAAATAGACGTAATTCCACGTACTT